TTTAAAGCTGTATCATGGTTTCATTAACTTCCTAATTATAAATTGACCAGGTAGCTTCTCAGTGAGACCCCAATTTGATGGTACAAAGTCATGCACAGAGAAAATAGCTCCCATGTGGAAACAAGAAACGTTTAAAGTTGTAAAGCTAGCTGTGCGTTTTTGTAAAATAGTAGGTTGATTCTTTGAAATATACAGTTATAGTATTAGAATGTCTTATAATGGTTTTGAAAACCCTCTGTCTTCCATGTAATCCGTGATACAGTTCCCATGTCCCATCCTCAGACTGTCCAGAGGGCAGCTTCCTGTTTGCTAATTCAGCTCTTAAAAATGATTTAACATATATTTAAAGACAAACCTTTTGTGATTTACCTTTTACAATCAGATGTTGTGATTAAAATATCTACTTATTTTTTGCAATTCAATTTGCCCTTATACAACAGAAGTCAGATTCAGGGGTTACTTACAGTACAGTGCTGTCTTCCACCCAATCAGTATTATTCTGGCAAGGAATTTAATTGAGTGTTAGAGAAGAAAGTATTAATTATAAAAAAAAAATTACTGAACTTAGAAGAGAAAAATAAGCCTATTTATGTGCCATGTCTCTTGTATTTTGAGCAACAATGACACAACCAAATAACCTTTATCCTTCTTTTAAAAGAGTCACATGACAAGACCCAAAGTAAACAGCCCCCACTGGGGCCTATTTCTGCCCTAAGCAAGCTATTCTATGTTTAACAATGACCCTAAGTAGACTTTTTGGAGCCAGTGCCAAATAGTAATAAGTTGTTTTCTGATGATGAACAGTGCCTCTGAGCTATATTACTCTGAGTTGTATAACACTATCACACCACTCCAGTACAGATAACTTGGGGTCCCTTGCAGATTTGGTATCTAAGCAGGAAATGAAATACCAAAATATAATTTATGTGCATATTTTATTCTGTTTTTCAAAAGACAATTATGTTAGCCATGCTGGCTAGTTAGAACTTGGCAGTCTGTCACAGAATAAGAGCCCTTGCCTATTTTTTATTCATTAAGAGATCTGAGTTTGGAAGCTGGAGGTGAATTTCAAACTCCTATTACATTCTATAGCAGTGAGCTAATATTAGAAGGAAGGAATTGGGAGACAATGCAAGTGGTAGATACTGACTTATTAAGTTTAAAGGAAAATTGCAGGTGGCATTTTTGAAGAAATCAAATAAAGCAAGAGGTGGTGTGCCTACCACTCCCAGTGCTTCATATAGTGATCATTTATCATGCAACTGCTGCCACAATTGGGCAGAACAGGGTACCTATTCTTTCTTAATCAGTGCCACAGCACAATAATGTTAGGAAGGTGCACTAAAGAATAACTACCCCAACTGGAAATGCAGTGGGAAGTTTAGGAGGGCAAAATATTGCCTATCTAACCACAGATACTTAGTCCCTGATACTTAGAGCAAAGATTCTCAAACAGGGTGCCATTGCATCCTGGGTGCTGCCAGATCCCTTGTAGGATGTCATGAGGTGTGAGGAGATAAGCACATAAGCAAAGATTCAGGCTTGCCTGACCAATCCCCCAACTCCACTGCCCAGCCCCTCTGCAAGGAGGTAAGCCCGTTAATATGTAACTTGATGTTTTTAATTGGGTGCCACTTAATTTAGAAAAAGTTATGAAAGGGTGCCTGGAGTCCAAAAACAGATAAGAACCACTGACTTGGAGTGAGTCAAGAATCTTATTTTGTTCTGTGCTTGTACAGAACTAGGCACAATGGGATGCTGGTCCATGACTCAATATCATGGTGCTACAGTGTTATGCAGAATAATATACCTATTTAAACACATTGTAATCTTTACAGCAGCTATCTTCATAACACCTCTGTAATAGAGGTGGAGTGCTCTTCTGTCCACTTGACTGATGGGGAACTGAGGCATGCAGAGACAAAGTGACTTGTCCAGGGTCCTGCAGAAAGCCTATGGCAAAGCAGGGAATCAAACCTGGTTCTTCAGAATCCCAGGCTAGTGCCTCCATCACAGGACAATATTTCTGCTTATGTTGTATATTTAAAATATCACTGACCAAATAAAAAATTGCCCAAGGCTTACATCTTTGTTCTCGCAAATTGCATCACAAGGTCGATAATGATTCCAAGTGATCAAGACCTCAGTTTTTAATTTAATCTGAAACGCAATGTCCCACATCCGCATGTTGGAGCATTCATTCTGCATGCTGTTCTGGGAAACATTTAAAGACGTGCTTAAATCCCACTAATTCATACATAAGTGCTGTTATGAATCAGGGCTTCAACTGAAAGAGAGATGTGCTTAAAATAAAGCAATCCTCTTAGATACTGACTTACCTCTTGTCCTCTTTTCTGACCAACACATCCATACCAGAATACTCTTCTGCTGGGTTTTAAGGTGATGGGTAGCACTGTTAAGATGGGGCATTGGCAACTCCAATTACACTGCATGAAACCTACAATACCATACTCTCATAAAGACCTGTCTGTTTCACAAGTCTCACCAAGCCTCCCTAAAATGGGATTTTATTGTTTGTTCAAATTTGAATGATGGGGTAGATGAGAACCTAGAGAGGGTCAGATTTGTTCCTAGTGTAAGCATCTACCCACTCATTGGTTCTATTGCTTAGCAAAACAGTCTGCATTTAGACACTAAGAAGATTAAACCAATGACCTTAAAGCTCGTTAAATTTAGTAATTTATTTAGCTAGTTTCAGCTGAAGGTTCCAAAACACCTTACAAAACAGAAATTCAGGGAAACTCTCAAGACTCCTATTAGTACAGTAAGTATTATTAGCTTGATTTGTTAACAGATGGGCAGACAGAGGGATAGAGGAACTTACCTTAGGTAACATGAGGAGCTTGTGTCAAAGTTGACTTGGGTCTCAAACTGCTCTGTTCACCTTTATCATCTTTTAACATCTATATTAATAATAACATATTTGAGAAACCAACACAAACTCCTTTGGAAAGCAGGGCTTGTATTCAAATGTTTCTTTTTATTTCAACAAAGAATCAGTTCTAGAATAGACGTATACTTTTTCTTTGTGCCTGTATTTTAATTTAAATGGTCAAAGTTGGAAAAATATGTTGGGATAGGATCATACCCAATAAAGTTTTTGGATAAAATTTCATGTTTCAGCACTACTGGATGTGCTGGTTTCAGTGGAGAACGTGTCAATGCCCTGAATTAGCACACTTTTGTAACATTATTCAGATTCCTGTGGTAGAGGGAAAGCTAAAATTGTGCTTCTCCCTCTTGTGTGCAGTTCTAGAAGTGCATAGTCCAACTTACAAATTCCTCTCTATGTTTTCAATTGTACAGCTGTAGGAAGTTGCAAAATAATATCTCCTCTGAGGGCACAAAAGTACTGTAATACTTACAAAATGTACAGTGAAACTAGACAAAAGTGTTTCTTTCTCTAAGCTTTTACTATTCCACAATGCTAAGTAGGCAAAGCAATCTTAAATAGTGAGCTTAAATAGTGAGTTAATAAAAACAATTAATATCCAGAACATTGTGATAAATAAAACATTATTAAGAACAAATTATGAGGAACCAATGTCTTGTTTACAACTCTGAAATTTTACCTTGAAAAGCTTTGGGGCTCACAGGGCTGTTCCCTATCTTTGGCAGTGATTTACTTGGGGTCTATTACACATCATCACCTTTATTTTTAAATAAGCAGGGGGTTTTTTGTGTGTTCTGGTATTAAAAAAAGAAAATCCTAAAGTTTGGAAAGAACAAGAATCCTTTAACTTTAGGGCAAAAGCTAACTTTCTCTGAAAGAGTTAAGGAGATATATTCCCTAGCAAGTTATTTTGTAATGTCTACTTGAGGGTTCTTGCATTTTCCTTTGAAGCGACTGGTACTATCTAAAATTAGTGACAGGACACTGAAACAAGTTGGTACACTGATTTTAGGACCTTGTGTCCTAAAACCAGTGTAGAGTATGTTGATTCCTGGGTTTGACTGTCAAATACAATGTTTTGACATTCTTCCCATGTTGCCAGTGGTACTGGATCTTAATATAAACCATTCATAACACCTATTCATTTGTTATAGATTATCCTCACTGGATTTTGATCACTGCACTCCCATCTTATTTATGCCACTTTTATGACTCCGTCCTCTACCTTGGAGAAGTTGTCTAGCTGACAGTAATGTGATAAACAACATATACAAAAACCTAGGCAGATCCAGTGGGGAAAGTGCATACTTTCCGTGTTTCCTCCTTGGTCTTCTGGTTTAGAAACTGCAGGATGGGCTAGAGAGAAGAGCACAAGGAACAGGTGAATTCTCATATTGGCTCTGATCTCTCTTACATAATGTTGGGCATGTCACATGGACCCTCTATCTGTTTCCCTTGGTGTGCAATGGGGACTCATCTACATTCTCAGCATGTTGTGGGGATTCAACAATACTTGTCCAATGCTCTGAAGGTATACAAAGCTACTGTTGTCCTTAATCACAGTTTTACCCAGAGAAAAAATGGTGTTAACAAATAATGCTGGAAATTCATTTTTCCTCAGAGATACCATGCAGCACAAAGGATATTCACTCCATTTAAGAACCAAATGTGAACTCTCTATGGAAGGGCACAACAGGGCATACTTCAACCCTTGTAGCAATGGGGTCATTCACATATTTGCCTCCTCAAGAAGGCAAATATTGGGTTCTACTATCATTGCATCCCCGAATGACTTCATCTGGCATTTATAAGGCTCCCCTGGATGGGACTTGATGTGATATCCCCTTTGCCAAACTTTCTTGCAAGGGAAACTGTTACATTTGCTCAAACAAAAAGCCTCAAATTATAGCTCCAGTTTTTGTTCTCCCTCCTTTGGGTCTGACCGGACCCCTGTAGGAAGCATTATCAAGGCCCGACCAGCCCTGCTCGTGCCCGCAGCGCGGAATGCAGCTTCCAGGGGGCGGGGTAGCGACAGGCTCCGCCCCGCCCCCGCAGCGGACTGGCGGGGCGGGGGGCGCGGCCGCGAGGCGGGAGCACGTCATGTGCGCGGCGGCAGCAGGGCAGCGGCAGTGGCAGTAGGTGTGGGCCGCCGCGGCCATGCCCTACGTCCTCATCAGCACGCAGATCCGCATGGTGAGTGCAGCCGGAGGAGCTCCCCCTTGCAGCGGGCGGGTGGGCTTGAATCGCAGCTGCGGGGTGAGGGCTTGGTCGAAATCCACAGTCTACAGCAGTGTTGGGGTGATGCTGCAGCCGCCGCGGTCCAGGGGTCGTCAGAGAGACGGGGCGTTGGGGGCAGATCTCCGGCTCCACCAGCCACGCTTTAGAAACAGCTGGAGGGCACCCCATATGCCCTGGGAGTGGCTGGATGTTGCTGCTGCTTGGCTTTGGGGTAGCTTGTCCCAGGGTTTTTGTAAGTGCAGCTGTGGCCCAAGCCTGGCCCCCGCCCCCTGTTCCAGGCATGTAATGGACAGTAGGGTTCACCAGCAAGGTGAGTCACCTTGGTACAGGAGCAGGTGGCTGGATGACAGCTGTGTGAGGTGTCATGTTGTCCCTCAGGCAGGTAGAAAAGGACTAGATACCTGGCTTGGCGCAGAGCCTCCTCTCTCTCGCCATCCTTCCTTTATTCCAGGTAGTGTCCTGCTGCTGTGTCCACATGAGTGCGGATGTTTGGTTCCCTGGGAACAACCAGCAGGGCACACGCACCCTTTGGCATGCAGCAGGTTATGCTGAGTGGGGTAGGGGAGGCTGGGGCCAGCACAGTTGCTGGCTCCAGCAGCCTTACCTGGTGTCCTGGGGGCTGGGGAAGCTGCAGCCGCAGTGCTCTTGCAGCTTGGAGCCTGGCTAGCAGCTGGAGTGTGTCTCTGGCCAGCCAGGCTCTGGTTTTGGGCAGTGCACACTGCAGCCATGTCTGCCACCTCACTCTTTTTTTTTCTGCCCAGATTTTTTTGGCTCCTAGATCTCCAGGGGTAAAAAAAATAAATAAATCCCTGCATGCTGCAAGGTAGCGGCATGGGAAATGCCTGAATGTATGGCATGTGGTGCTGCAGACAGGTCTGTACCGTCACATACCATATGGCTGCGCTTACCTGGATACGGCCTACTTGGTAATGTTTGCTTCCCTCCCCTGTCCCAGCAAGCGTGGCTTATACTTCAGGCTTTGCATATGTGCTGCCTCCTAGGTACTCGCTGAACTTACAGAGGATGAAGCTCAACAGATTATCATGCGCTCCTGGAAAGTTGTATATGGGAATCATTCCCTATGTGCAGAGTCCTGTGTAGATGAGTACATGGAGGATTCTGAGTAGGACATAATATTGCCCACAACCTGGAGGCAAAGTATGGCAAAGAAATGGGCTGTAAGAACTTGAGAGCCTACTGAGGGATGGTTCTGCCATCCAGTGAGCCTGGTGCAGCAGGGTGGCTGACTGTCTTTTCCACAAGTTTTACATGATTCCCTACAAATGAGTCATGCCTCTGCTCCTTTTCCTGACAACCCTATGGAGCAATATTGTGACTGTTATGCTTGGTGAAGATCCTATCACAGTCCAGTTGAAACCACTTTACAGCCATGCTACCAACATTTGTGGTAATGCAGTTTCCCTGCCCGCTGGGCAGGGATATTAATCTGAGGCACTCCATGTAGTCTGAAACTGACTTTTCTTCTACATAACTATATGATAGCAAGACAGGGAACTAAGGTTCTATCAACTGTGTCTAAACACATTTGTAGCTAATGCAGTTTTGGCTGTTGGGCAGAATCTACATGGCAGATGCATGGTATGTTGCTTTTTACGTTTTGTTTTAAATAAAGGAGAAAATGTACATTTGGACCAGGGTACCAAATATAAGGATGTGGTTTTGCAGTAGGAAAAATTTACCTGTGAAATGCACAAATTGATCAGCTGCAGCTTCATAAAAGGAACAGTCTGAAGTAGTGGAAAAAATACCTGAATCTGTGTGAGTGGGGAACACAAAGAAGACATAATGATGTTCAGTGGCATTAAAGGCTTTGCTGTTTACTTTCATGCATTCAGTGTAATGAGAGTTATGTATATAATCAAAAGCAAGCAACTTTCTGCCATCATACCTTGTTTACATAACTTTTTAGGAAAAAGTTGTTTTGGATCATAGCAAAACTGTGTGTGTGGATTAGTCAGTATTAGAGTTGACTGTTTTATAAATCCTCAGACACGCAAATATTAGTTACAGATCCCGCTTCAATCCAGTCTTGGTCCGTGTGAATTAGCTGCTGTACCATGAGTGAGTATGTTTGCCTGCAGGATGCCAGTTGCAGGTGTGACTGCGTGGCAGGCAAGCAGGCAGACCCAGGCTCATGTTAATCTAGTTCACTCTAACATTTGTAGTGAAGATGTGGCAGCCTGGGGTCCATGAGTCTGCAGAGACCCTGGGTACTTATTTGGGGGTCAGCTTGTGGTGAAGCTCACGTTGTTTCACTGTTATTGGGTATGTCTGTATCATTCAATTGCAGTGCTGTATTGGAACAAGCAGCACTCACTCTGCACGTGCTGTTTCCCATCCAGGAGTAGCAGAGCTGCTTTACTGGCATACATGTAGTGCTGCACTAAGTTCTTCAGACTGGCACTTAGATGGCTACACTTCTGAGTTGGGAAGTAGCATTTGTTGCTTCATATGATGCTGCCTGGTGCCATAACTGAATGAGTGGCACAGGCTTACCCATTATTTCTTGCCATAGGCAGATTAAGGCCAGTTTGGGGTTGTCTACCTGTGCCACACTTTTGCTTCTGATGACATGCAAACAGATCCGTGGAGACCCACTGACTGCTCTGGGACTTTGTCAGGGCACAGAGGTCCATTCACATAAATCTACTTCTAAGACTTTTGTGAATGGACTGTTTATGTGAATCACTGGGTCTATGCTCTCTATTAATATAGAGCAGATGCTCTGGGCCTAAAGTTGGACCATGACTGCAATCAGTCTGTCCTGGACTAATACAGTTTATTTATTTAAGTTCCTGCTTTTACCTGATCCATGCTGGCAGTGGCCAGAGAGGGAGGAGATGCAGCTGTCATTCTTTTTCTGCCCTTTATCCAGAAGCATATTGGAGGCTGCTTGGAGGTTTGGGAAGTTAAGTACACCCACTTTTTGAAGTTACTTGGACTGAAGATAGGAAGGAGCTAAAAACGGTACATGTTATTGTCTACTATCAGGAGACTGTGCCATGGATAGTATGTGTATGTAGCCAGTGATGCTTTTTTACTACCTTGCTTTGTATCTTCTGTGGAACTCCAGCCTGCTGGCTGATAGTAGTGTGTCTGGGGAGGAAGACTGGGTAGAAGGAAGTTTTGTGATGCAGGGTTGCCTAATCTGTGTGTGTTGATTAACACACCCACTTTAAATACTACCTCATTGTGCATCTACTCACTTCTGCTCCCTTCTTGGAGAGGCTGTGAACCGATGCTTGTTGACAGAGTTGCTGTGTTAATGGTTTGGCACTAGGGGGCAGAGGATTTGCCTTCCATGCTAGGTTTTGTTCTAGGGATATTTGCTCTTAAAACAAGCTGAGGAGTTTGATCAGCTTGTCTGACCATGTACAAGGCCTCTGATTTTTGTAGCTGCGATTTCATAGTACTTACCTACCCCTGTTGCTGTCAGACTGGATTTTGCTCTCTTGCCCTGCAGTTTCATTACTAAGCTAATAACAGGTCAAGGTGCATAACTTCTGGCTGCCAGCTTGTTTGCTTCTGTAACAGACAGGCCCACCTAATGATGTGGAGCACATGGTCCAGGCAGAGTGTCTATATGACACGTTCCTAAGGTCCATGCAGGGAAACCAGGCAGGTCTTTAGCCTCTGTTCCATTCCTGTTTGCAAGCTATGGTGTTTCCTTTCTCTTCTTTGTCATTTAATAGATGATTTATATTTAAAGTTTCAGTTAGTGTTGCAATATTAGGGGTGGGTGGCACATAAGAATAGTTTTGCTGGTACACATGCTGCCTAATCCAAACATCCAAAGCACTCATGGGGCTTTAAGCTGTATCTACAGGCAGTGGGTATAACTCTTGGCAAAACTTTGCTAGTGTAGATCAGATGTAGGGGACAGCAGCTGCTCCTCTGATTAAAGTTACTGGGGAAGAATACCTTTGACTTCAAAAGGAGCCAGATCAGGTCCTGAGCCTGTGTCTAAATCCTGTTTGGGGTTGTTTCATACCGCTGGGGTTGAATCGGGCATCTTCCCTCAAATACCTCTGCTGATGAGTCTCCCCTGCCTAAATTTCATGGAACTATCAGGCTACATGTTTGCTTTTGTTTTTAAAGCAACAGATGCCCATGTTATCTTGTTGCGTTTTTTTTTTTTTCATAGGATCAATGAGTCGGAAGGGACCTAGACAGATCATCAAGTCCGCCCCCCCCGCCATGGGCAGGAAGGAGCACTAGGGGTGGCAGGGGTCATAAGACCCCAGCCAGGTGCCTATCCAGTCTCCTCTTGAAGATTTCCAGGGAAGGTGGGAGCACCACCTCTCTAGGAAGCCTGTTCCAGGCTCTGGCCACCCTTACAGTGAAGTAGTTCTTCCTAATATCTAACCTAAACCTATCCTCCCTCAGCTTGTGGCCATTGTTCCTGGTGACTCCAAGGGGGGCCCTGGTGAACAGACTTTCCCCGAGTCCCTGCTGGTGGCCCCTGATAAGGTTGAAGGCAGCCACAAGATCCCCCCTCAGTCT